ACATTTAACTAAGGAATATAATGCAAATTATTGCAAAACCTATAGAAGTTAAGTTAAATAAGTTAAAAAAAGTCAAGAAATTAGTTTAAAATATGTAAAAATAAGAAATATTTTCATTACAAATATACAGTAAATTAAAAATACATGTCACAGGACATGTTTAATATGAAAGAATGTTCATTATAAAATACTGGTAAATTATGGAGAAAAAAAGACTTGGAATTGTTTAGATGTCTCATTGATGCTTTTAAATTAACAATCCATTACATTCTATTGACTTTTCTGTTTTTTCTAAAGATTTTATTAAAGATGGGTATACCTGCTCAGTTGGCTAAACTGGTGATAGCCACTGTGTGTGCGCTGAACCATGGAGATCTAGGTCCCCGATTCAATTCCCATCGCTGCTCTCCTTGTTTTTCAGCTGAAGGGCTGAAATGCAAGTTACGATAGTGCACTGTCTTTCAGATGAGACGTTTAAGCCGTTGGTCCTGTGTGCATTATCGCCCGTGTGCATGTTAAAGGATGCTGTACACTATTCAGAAAACAGTAGGGGAATGTCTCCAGGTGTACTGCTCAGGTGTACTGCTCAATCATTGCTGTCTTCAGTTCGTGCCCTTCGAGACCAGTGTCTGTTTCCAGTATGTTCTTTAATGTTGTCGTGGGCCTTCCAACTTTCCTTGAGGGTATCTGGCTTCCAAAGTAAAGCCCTGCCGGCTGCCTTATCGTTTCTTATCACGTGACCAGCAAGAGCAAGCCTACGTTGTCGAATGATGGAGGATAGACGTGGATGTTTACCGTACAGAGACTTGTTGGAGGTGTGCGACTGCCAGGAAACGTTTTGAACAATCCTTAACATTCGGGTGTATGTTCCATCAATTTTTTTAGTAAGAGCATTCATTAAGGTCCATGAGTCGGCTCCATACAGCAGTATGGACTCTACAGTTGATTTGAAGAGTCTCATTTTTGTTGTTTTTCTGATTGGTGCTGACCACACTTTTGACAACGAGTGTAATGCACCTCACGCTTTACCAATTCTTGTGTCAATGTCATGGGACGTAAATGTGTACCCGCCGAGATAAAGGAATTCGCCAACTTTCTCGATTTCCTGTCCGTCTAGTGAATTAATGGACAATTCTGATGTGGAATTGAGGTGAATAAACTTTGTCTTTTTGGCATTTAAAAAGAGACCAATGGATTGTGTTTGTTTCTCGACCCGATAAAGCGATTCTTCAGCATTCTTGACTGTATTTTCTAACAAGGCGATGTCATCAGCATAGGCAAATTCTGGCAAGACGTCTTCAGGATGTCTTCTGCTTAGGCGTCGCTTCAGAGTCCATCTGATGGTCGAAGGGCTTTTCTCAATGCGTAGTCTAAGCATATAATGAAAATAAAAGGAGCTAATGGATCTCCTTGAAGAACACCAGTGTTAATAACAAAAGGGTCAGTATTGCCTTCTGGATTAATGACAACGGCAGTTGTGTTAACATACATAGTTTTTTTTCAATCCAATCCGATCTATAAATATTATAAAAATGTAATTGTTTTTATGTGATTCTTTGCAAGTTCATAACTTTTTTGATCCTTTTAAATGAGAAAATATTTTTTATTATATTTTTTAATGTTTTCTTTTCCAGATTTTATCGCAGATGGGTGAAACTATATTAGCAAACTGAGTGGTTTTGATTTATGTCTCATCGGAAGTAAGTAACTTTTTTTATTCTATACTCATTGAGATCATCTAAGATTATCCTATAATTATTACCCTCACCTCTCCATTAGCTTTGCCTCTCCGAAGAAGAGGTGAAGGATAATGCAATAGTATGCGTCTGTGTGTCTGTCTATGTGTCTGTGTGTGTACTTCAGGGCGCATAACTCAAAAACCACTGGACCAATTTACTTAAAATTTCCACACATTGACAATGTTACATGTATCTCAATCCTTCACAAGTTTGGTGCTAATCGGAAGATGCAGATTTTAGAATTTATTATATTTTCCGGGCGCAACAGACATTGCCAACTGGAGCAGATCGTCTGCTCTGGCGTGCAAACTTATTCGATTGATGGGCTTGCCATGCAAGGCCTCATTTGGATAGGCCCGCTGTGTCCAGCAGTTCGACCAGTACATAATAGATATGGCGCAACAGGGTGAGATATGGCGCAACAGGGTGAGGGTTTGCAATCTCAGATTATCTTGTAATTGATAATTGCTTCAAATATATTGTTTGAATATTTAATTATGGGTTTTTATATTTCAATGTAGAGAGTATCATGAACTGCATAATTTACATGTCCATCACAAATACATTTCCTCATAATAAATTATCCTATTGATAATAAAAGGGAGACTACTTACAGTTCTAGGCCATAGTGCATCTCAAATTTCATATTCTCTCTCTTTGGGGCCAACAAACACCTGATATTTTAGCCCAGCTGTTCTGTTCACCACCAAGTGTAACGCAGGAATGTTTTCCCTTGCTACTATGTGTTCAATAAATTGTCTCCTCATGTGTGGGACGAACCAGTACTTCATTTTTTATAATGCAGTATTTTTTTTATAATAATTATATCCAATTGCTGTCTAATTTCATTGCAGTGGTAAAAACCTGTCAAACTAAAGCAATTTCTAAAGCTTTCCAGATGATCTTTGACAGAAATTGTTGTATACCCATATATAGTCATGATATGCCTATATATGATCATGATGTCACTTATATTTTTGTCAAATAAAATGTGATAGTTTGGACAGGCTGTCGAATCATCAAATTTTCTTTGACAAAAAAAAAAAAAAATAATGCCCATATGATGTGCCTATATATGGTCATGTGAAGTGATGTCATCATTACCATATTTAGGCATGTCACATGCTTTTGTCAATAAAAGTTGATAGTGTGGACAGCGCTTAAACTGAAACTTGTGGAGTAGGTTGTAATCATAACATCTGCTCTCTTTGATTGCATTTAATTGGTTTCTGATTGGAAGTAAAGTGTCTATAGCTGTGACACTGTCAGGTTTTCAAGTATCTGCTAAGTTGAAAGTAGACACTGGTAGGCGAAGTATTAACTATGTAGAAGGATAATGTAATGAAAACAAACGGTCAGCATTTCTTAGCAGGATTAACTTTTCATCAGCCGCACATTACTCCTTAATTATTTTTTTTTAATTAGATATTTTCTTCTTTCAAACACCATCTTTGCAAGCTAAATACGATAAGTTGAACAATAATAATGTTTACTGACAATTTGAATTGCTGATATAGCTTTCCACCAAAAACTGAGAACAAGAAAACAGTTTACTTGTCAATGATTAGGCCTAGTAATAGATGCATTTATAATAAACTGTCCAATATTATATTTTTGTAAAATTGGAAAGTTACTTCAGTAAAAGTTGCAAGTTCAGAAATACAAAGTGCGAGTTGAAAAATGTGAGTTACAGGTTGAAAATATTGAGGGTACACATCTTTATTAGTTATTTAGGCTATGAAAATATTTGGTATCTTTTTGTCATAATCTCTCATTTTCAAATACACACTCAATGCAACTTACAATGAATCAATCAATCAGTCATTCAATCAATAAAATCATTTAGTCAATAATCAATTAATCAATCATTCACTCAATCATTCAATCAAACAATCAGTCAGTTAACCAACAAATTATTTTGTCAATAATCAATTAATCAATCAATGCTCAATCAATCAATCAAGAACAATATATTTCAATTCTATTCAATCTTATTGCATGCTTCAAATACCATCAAGGGCCAATATCTGCTAGAAATTACATTCACATTACCGTAATTCATTAAACAAGAAATTTAAAAAAATTAAATTTAAAATAAATATTAAATATCAAATATATACAGTATAAACTTACAAATAAATCCCAACAATTTATGGGCATGTGGAATGGTGGTGGAGGAAGGTGAATATACGAATTAAAATTTCAGTTGCACAGAATGTTTTTCAGAAGAACAGGGGAAATCAAATGCCCTTTTTTCACTCTAGTATGCAATGCAAAACACTTATCAAATGAACAAAAGTTTATTTTGACAATAAAGAATATATATATATATATATATAAGACTGTGGAAGAAAAGAAAAAGTTCAGTAATAATGAAGATGTAAAATGGGATGTACAAGAAGAAGAGTGAGGGAGTGTCGGAAAAATGAAGATTAATTGCGGTGTAAGGGAAGAATGGGATGCCAGGGATGGTTTTCAGATTGAACAAGGAATACACGATTTTTTTTTGTGTATCACTTGTACTTACACTCTTGAGAATATTAAAACATGATGTCTAACATGAAGCCTTACAAGTCTGGCAGACCTCCCAAGTTCCCAGAAATTTGTGGGTTCCCAGATTTTTCAGGTGGATCCACGCTTCCCAGAATTTTTAGATTTTCCCAGAAAATACAGAATTTTCATTGTGAATATTAAAATGGCTCTTAAGTTTTTATTTTCAAAAATTAAACAAGATTACTTAAAATTTAAACAATACCATGTGCTTTGCATCACAAAACCTCAAAATGACTTAATTTGCCTATTGTTTTCCACTTACAAAAAGCGGACTAATACTGTTTCTGTTAAATATTTGATGGCTTTTTGTAATTACATGACACACGTTGAATAACATGTCATACCTGTAGTTAATAAACTAAAGAAAAAATGACCCGGAAATTTCATTTCCATAAATGATAAATTACCCAGAAATTTCACTTCACCAACTTGGGGACCTCTGACATACATACACATTTCTTCTAAACCAAAAATATTCAAATTTTACATCCTATTTATGTGCTTCTATTTTCACATCCAGATGGCAGTGATAATTTTGCCAAACCACCTGTCTAAAATCATTTCTTCTTATGCTCTGTACCTCAAGATGACTATTTCAGAATCAATTAACTGATCCACCATAAACAGAAATGTTCAATCAGGCCAACAATGTAAACAAACATTAAAGGCCCTACTAACAATTACAAGAATATATAGTATTCCACTCACTAGTGACCTCCAGGTGTTGAAAGAATGAGGTGCATCTAGCATTCAAATACCCAAGCAGTAACCTAAATATAAACAGTTTAAATAGAACAAATAGTTAAAATGGAAAAACAAGGTAGAATGTACACAGATTCAGTAAAAGATACAATAAACAAACTAGGTTTAGCTGCAAGGAGATGATTGAATGATGTCATAGGAAATAAGAAACATATACAGGATACAAAAATGCATTTTAAAAACTTAGTGTGTGGCCTACTTACCACCTTTGGCTTGAAAACCACTAATTGTTACAACTTCATGCAGTCTGTAAAAGTATAAGAGTTACAAAAGCAATGCAGGAATGCTTTTTAAGCAAAATGGAAATGTCAAATTTTCACCTCTTTAAAATTACTTTTTTCGTTATTATTTTTTATCCTCGGGGAACTGCTCTGGAATAACAATCCCTGGTCCTCTGGTTAATCCCAGCAAAAAAGCATATACAGTAAATATAAGCATCACAAAAAAGATGTTGAAAATACAGTAAAAATTAACAGTAAAGCCAGGCCTGCAAAAAAAAAAAAAAATTGTGCCCGACCATAAAAATTGTATCAATAAAATGCCTCAAGTATAAAATTTTATCTGTACACTATATAGCACAACAGTTTATATATTTGAATTTTTTTCCCCAAAAATGAATCACTCATGATACCTCCAACCACCGGTCGTGCATTTTTTCCAACCCTGAGTAAAGCAATTCATCCAGCAAACATTTAATAATGTTACAAAGCAATACCATTTATACAGATACACAATTAAAACAATATAATCACTATACTGTCTTATATTAAGGTGTAAAAATGGGCAGTTACGCCCCTTTTCCCCCAGTTTTAAATATTAAAAAATCTGTATCTCATTCACTGTTCCCCAGTTTTTTGTCAAACAACGCTCTGGAATAACAATCCCTGGTCCTCTGGTTAATCCCAGCAAAAAAGCATATACAGTAAATATAAGCATCACAAAAAAGATGTTGAAAATACAGTAAAAATTAACAGTAAAGCCAGGCCTGAAAAAAAAAAAAAAAATTGTGCCCGACCATAAAAATTGTATCAATAAAATGCCTCAAGTATAAAATTTTATCTGTACACTATATAGCACAACAGTTTATATATTTGAATTTTTTTCCCCAAAAATGAATCACTCATGATACCTCCAACCACCGGTCGTGCATTTTTTTCAACCCTGAATAAAGCAATTCATCCAGCAAACATTTAATAATGTTACAAAGCAATACCATTTATACAGATACACAATTAAAACAATATAATCACTATACTGTCTTATATTAAACAGAATTTTTATATATTTTTTACATAAACACATATCAACACATCTCAAAGTGATAAAATAAGTATAAAAAACATGCAGCGCTTATTCTTAAATCAAAACTTTGGCCCTCTGGTCCATTTACTTATAAACTTAAAAAGTCAATATTAAATCTTTGAAAAAGACTTATGCTAGCCTTTTTAAAGTCAGGCTCCGGAGGAAGAAAATTTTTTGATATGTTGTAGAACTGATTTTTCTAAGACAGAAAAAAGTTGTTTGACGAAAAACTGGAGAACGTTGAATGAGATACAGATTTTTTAATATTTAAAAACTGGGGGAATAAGGTGTAAAAATGGGCAGTTACGCCCCTTTTCCCCCAGTTTTAAATATTAAAAAATCTGTATCTCATTCACTGTTCCCCAGTTTTTCGTCAAACAACTTTTTTCTGTCTTAGAAAAATCAGTTCTACACCATATCAACATTTTTTTTCCTCCAGAGCCTGACTTTAAGAGCAACTACCAACAAAATCAGTCTGGCACAAAACCAACTAGAAGCAGTGTGCTCGCAAAATGTGAGTGGTTATATCAGGGTCAAGCAAACTTCCTAGGGATTCGCGCTAATTGCCTTAATCATATTTTCATTGGAAGTTCCTAGACTTGTGCACAATACCCTTCCTAACTTTACTGTTTATTTTGTTATCACCGATTTGTTTTGAGAGTCATACAGGAACGTGTTTGGAGCAAGGAGTCTTTTTTTAACCAGGGACAATGCAAATAGGCCAGTTGTTATTTGCATGTACGATCCCTAAGTTAAAACTTTTTGCTGCACGAGTGTTTGGGAAACAATTTTAATATCGTCCAGTTCATAATAACTAGATGTATCTTACCTAAAGTATATATACTGTAATATTCTTATTTTATAATAATATTATTTTTTATAGCATATAATTTAAATTATAAAATATTATTTGAAAGTTTGCATCATAATTATAGTTCTAATTTTTTTTATCGTATAATATATTATCTTTGTTCAAGTGTCAACAAAAATTCTGGTGTAGGCTACACTAAACATGAAAATAAGAAATATTTTCTTATCGTAGTTATTACACAAAAACTGAAGAAACATCTTGATGCACAATCTGTATAATGCCTATTTTGTACAGAATTATAAGAATACAACATTGTAGTTTGTAGCAGGCCTATACATGCTCCAACTTTCTCAATTCAAATCTCTTCTTAAAATTCACCTTTTTCATAGTTCATACCTTTATGTGCTGTGAGATTCCAGTAAAGAGCGCTGTATAAATGCTAAAATATTATTGGTGATCCGCTTCTCGAGCGGATCACTTCGTTATTGTCAGGATCATCATCATCATCTTCATCTTTTCTTTATTTCTCCCCTTTTTGTTTGCACGATATCTCAAAATTGCTACGAGGTACGCACAAGGTCGCTCCATCGATCATTTTGGCATCGCCTGGAATTATGGTAAGGTTTTCAAGGTGACCAGTCATACGTGAAGTCAGCTACGCGCAATTTTGCATTTTTACATTATCAATCATATCAATTGCTATTTTGAAATCGTATTAAATAAGCATTAACTTCAGTTCAATGTTAAATGTATTGTACCCTAATTTTACGTGTGTGCTTTATATCACTAATATCACTTTTTGACTAAATTAGAGCACGTTTCAGGCCTTTTTGAGCATTTCAAAATTTTTTGAAATTTTCCACTACGTGTGCACTTTTACGTGCGCAGCACGTACGGAAGCCAGAAATTACGATTTTTGATATATTTTGGGTTCCTGAAATTGTTTTCCCAAATTTCCATTCTTTTCGGTCATCTTATGGCCAATAGTAATTGTGCGTATTTGTGCCGATTACAGTGAAAATATGCTAAAATCAGGCCTATTTTTAATCAGTTATAGCTCCTTATGATGAAAGGTGACCCCCTATTTTATTACATATTCTGAAAGCACATGAGTAAATATAATTTAATAGATCATAATGGCTGATCAGACATTGTGAAGTCATCATATTGCCATCTGAATTCAAGAAAACTGATTTTATCGATGACGTCGTTTTTGAAATACGCTTTTGAGTGTATCTCGTTTATCCTTGGTCGATCGTCTTCCAACTCTGAGTATGTTATAACTGAGACAATTTTCTTTCATGTGACCTCTTTTTACATTATGATGACGTCATCATGGTCAAATTAAATTTTTTTCTGACCCCCTCATCTTTCTTTCCTCAAACATAAGATGACCCCATAATCATCTCAACCAGTCGTCATTTGTGAATCATATTTAGTGGGCATAAACTTCAGGTCAAGGTTGAATGTTAGGTACCTTAATTCTTTGTGCGTGCGTTATGGCGCGTACTCTTGCGTCAAAATTAAACTATGCTTTAAATTATGCCTATATTTAATTAGTTATAGCTCTTTAGGATGAAAGGTGACCCCAATTTTTATTACATATTCTGAAAGCACATGAATTGTAGATATATATCATAATAGCTGATCGGGCATTGTGACGTCATCATATTGCCATCTGAATTTTTTTTAAATCAAATTTTTATATATGATAAATATTATGAATGATAATAACTCCCTCACCAACAGGCGTTTTATCAATGAGAGTTGATACATATATCTCATATCAGGAGTCAACATTTTGTGACATTACCATGCTCACGTGCGTCATGACGTGCGCGTACGCATGAGTAAATCTTACAAAATGCTCCAAATTCTTTTTTTAAAAACTGAATTAGCGTATACTTTAAGCCATTTTCAGCATTTAATAGTGGTTCAATCTCCACCGCGCTCACTTTCTTAAGGGTCAAAGTGCGGCGGATCACCTAACTCGTCCTCAGTGACGAGTTCAACTCTACAGTAGTTATTATTATTATTATTATTATTATTATTATTATTATTATTGAATGCATGATTGGGTCACTGAATGGGCAGAATATTTACAATTATGCTGAGTGAAACGTCGCTCTGTCATGCCAGTTCAGCATGAATTACCATGAAGAATATAATTATGATTCTATTTTTTCTACAGCTGTCACAGCTACTGTTGTGCTCTTTAAAAATAGGCCTTAATCTGCGGTGACCGTGTAGGCTGGAAATTCAATGGTCATTTTGTTTTCATAACTCACTGAGTAGAACTCCTTTTTCTCAGCAACACCTCAACCCACCTCACCACCCTTTCAGTCTATGGTATGTTAATACAAGCATTAAACAACTACTGCTGCTTGATTTCACAAAATTCTGCAGAGCACTGAAACTGTGGGGTCAGCTGACAGGAACGCAATGCAAAGAAGGTAATGAATATACTGTCTGTTTATTTCCAATTTACTCATAATACAGAGCACACAGCTTAAAACAAACACTAATTAAAACAAACCTTTTTATCAAATTAAAAGTAACACCTTTTTTTAACTAACTCAATTACACCTAACCTTGGGTTATTTACATAAGTTGAGATGGCAGTGTGAAGTTCACTCATACATTGGTCATTGGTCACTGCATACTGTAGGTCATTGGTCACTATGTTCCCCATGGCTATTTCAATAGTTTCCATCCAGGGACCAAGAAATATGGCCAAACATAGGTGTAAAATGAAACCAATATCATTTTTTGTTTTGGGGTTTTTTTCAGTTTGTGGTTAAATCCAGTAAATAATAGCACCAGCTGCAAGCTTTTGCCACCAATACACCAGGCAACCACTCTTCACACTGCTCTCACAACTAGCATATGCATATGTATGCAAGCAGCAAGTGGGTGGTTAAATAAAAACTAACCAAAAACATGAAATTTTCCCCTTAAGGGTTTTTGTCATGTTCAATGATGATACATTCTATATAATTTCAATTTAATTGGCTTAAGAATGAGTTACAGCTGAATTATAACTAAATTTTAACAATAATTTGCAGTGCAAAAAAATATTCATTATTGATATGAAATCAACAGATATGTAATTAAGACTATAAAAGTTTCTATGT